ATTTTTTTCAGTGACCCTTCTGTAATTTTGGGACACAAGGAAGAAATACCAAGTAGTTGAATACACACTCACAAAAATCAAACCAGTTGTTATGCCTGCCTCTCCTTAAAAATGAGCAAAGATCATTAAAGGAAGTCAAGACCACAAATGATTTCTTATAAAGGTACTAGAGCATCTGACTATCTGAGGAAAGTACGTTGAGGCTGAAAGCATCTCTTTCACCAACAGGGAAGTCAATCATGTATCATAATATGAAAAGCTTCTACATGAATGATTTTATTTGCTGTTCAAGACACAGCTGTGTGATGAGCCGACAGGTGGTATTATTCCCAGTTCAAATAAAGTAAACTGAGACACATAGATGGAAAGGCCACAAAATTTGGAGCAGGCCTTCTGACTTAAGAGCCACTGTTCTTTCCACTACACTGTATTATAAGTCATCTTTCTGTTCCGAGATGACAGCCATACTAACCACACAATCCTAAAACATGATGGCGTGGGACACCTAGTAGGCTTCTTCTTGGGTAGGTTGTGAGAATTAAACCAAATCAACTTACGAAACGTACTTAGAATAGTGCCTCCCAGTTGTGTGCCTGTGTGTGTGTGTGTACTAAAATGGCTATGTACCTTTGTATATATACAAATATATCTGTGTATATATGTGCCATATATAACATGCACATATATATATTCCAGCACACATACACGCAACTGGAAAAGGGATAAGTGAATAATAATTAGCATAACCAGGTTCTGTATTCAAGTAGGACACTTTACCAGACCTCTAACCCTAGAGATTAAAAAAAAAAATTTTTTTTAAAGAGCTTTTTCTTCATTTTCCTCATCCACAACTCCTGGAGAATAGATATTCTTCTAAAAAGTTTTAAGTCCTGATTTAAAGTAAGAGAAGCAAAAGTTGCCTTAGGAATACAGTCTGTGAAGCGGAGAGTCAGAGAGCATCCCTTCTCCCTGCCCAGCCAGATTACAAAGCCAGAAGTGATGCAAGGCCTGCCAGTCTAGGACACATGTTTCAGCCTCAAACGTTCTAGGCCTCATGACCCGCCTGTCAACCAAAATGCATTTGGAAGAGGAAAAGGAGGTGGCCCAACTTCTCACTCCATTCCCAGTTCAGCTTCTGGACAGGCTAAATTTTCTACACCCCTTGGAGGTACTTTTGCACCTTCAGAGGAAGACATGGACATTTCCAAGCAAGGCCAAAAGCCTATCAGTTCAAAAGCCAGGCCAGCTGCTTCCTCTCCTGGGAGGAACTGTTCAAGAGGTGGCTGTGCATGTGTGTATGTGAGTGTGTGTCTGTTTGTGGGGGCACTGGCACTTGCTCATCTCTTTGAGTCTAAGATTGGGTGTAGAGTAGTCAGCAATGCCCAGTAAATGACAATGCAGCCTCCTGTTGGGCTAGTGCGACCCCCACAGGAGTTGGTTGCCTGGATGGCAGAGTCATCCAGGGGGGTTTCCTCATAAGACTCCAGGAATGCTCTCAAATCTCCATAAGTGCTTAAGAGACTTTTCCGTGAAAAGAATGTGAAAGTGAGGAGAGATTGAGCGAAGGGGAAACTGGAGATACCATGGAATGAGCCAAACTGATTCCAGAACATGGGATTGGGTAAGAGGAGAAAACAGAAAGACAATCTAAAACCTCCCCTGCTAAAACCAAGCGGATCCTTGCCTGCCGTGCTCGCCCCGCGCTCGATGGGTCCGCGATGGTCCGCTGGGGCCGCGTCTCCGCTCGGGCGGGCGCTGAGGGCTGCAGCTGGAGGAGGCCGTCTGCGCCTCCCCTGGCGCACCTGCCCTGGGCCCCTGCAGACCCGGGCGGCTGCTCCACCTGGATGCGCAGCCCCGTCCTGGAGGGCGGGCGGACGGAAGTCTGGCCGGATAGTGGATGGAGAAAGGGACCGGAAGCCCCTGACCCCCGGGGCGAGGCCACTTTGGGGATCAGCCCCCGCAATTGGAAGGGAGAGGCGCGCTTCCTGGACAGTTTTCTGGGTATGACTGGTCCCAAGGTTTCCCGGCTCAGGGTCACGCTCCCTGGGCAGGGCGCCTAAGGAGGTAAGGCGCGGGGAAGTGAAACTTTTAGAGGACAGGAAGCAGCTGCGCTCCGTGGTTCAGAGACCAGAGGAGAAGGTGGGAAATGCGGAACCCCAGCCAGACACGTGTCCCCACACCCCACCCCGCCTACCTCGGCGCGCGACCGCGGAGGTACATCTGTGCTTGCGAGCGGCCGGCGCGCAGCTGCGACTGCAACACGCCGGACTCTGAGCCTCGGAGGGCCGCAGAGACTGGGAGCGGCCCAGGACCTTGGGAACTTTGCCCGGATGGGTCCAGTTTCGGTCTCGGCTCTCCAGCGCCTGTGAACTGGTGCAGAGATGTGCGCGTGTCCTTTCCCGGGCCCTCTGGTTCCCTCACGCCTGTGGACGCACGCTACAACCTACAAACACATCCCGGGAAATACAAGCGTCCCCCCTGCCCCCTCCGGCAGACGCCGTATGCGGAGAGGGATTCCGGAGCTGCTCAGAGAGCACTCTTGGAGGCGCTAGGCGCAGGGTCAAACCCAGGCATTCTGCCCCCGACTGGGACCCAACGAACGCTGGTGCAGCAACCAGTTGGTTTTCCTTTTCCCCAGTCTCTAGGACCTGCGGTCTTGGCATTCTAAGCTCAGGCCACCTGCCCGGACTTCATGCGACCAGCGCAGCGCCAAGCCTGCATGACCCTGTGACCTTGTTTCCTCCGCAGCTGTGTGCAGACATTTACGCCCATGGCCTCAGCCAGCGACCTCAGCTGGCTCGGCAGATGGGTGAGGTTATGGAATCTTAGAAACTCTCTTGTGAGAAAGTTCAGACACGGAGAGAGTTAAGATACATCCGAAAGCTTGAAATGCAGTATTAAAATAAAATATTTCTCAGTTTGCCTTGGCTGAAGGCAAAACTAGCTCTGGGCACCCTTCCCGTACCCCTTGTCGCCAAAAGGTCTTGTGGGCAGATTTGGCAGCATAGCCGCCCAGCCCTGAAGTGTCTGCCACGAACACACCTACCTGGATCGACCGGGCAGTGGCTCAGCCAAGGCTCGGCTTTCTTCCCGATTGTGTGATTAAGTTAATGACCATACAAAAGGAAACACAGGGGAAGCTCACTGAGTATGTACACGTATCCCTCAAAAAATATGATTCCAGACTATGAGGAAGCTGTTTTCAGAGAGCAGTATTTGCTTACCTTTTTCTGGACCTAAGTTCATCTCTGAATCCCCAACAGGTAATGAAGTCACCATAGTGAAAAGGAGATTCCGGAGGATTGGGCAAAAAGGAAGGGGCATTCAAGTTTTTTTGAAAGTAAGGCCCCAGACAACCTGAGATGGTTTGTCTTAAAGAAACTTTTGCTCCAAAGATCTGCTAGAGTACCAGGCATAGACCATTTAGTCAGCCTCTCAGGCATTGTCATCTAAGGATCTCTTAAGGCCCATCTTCCGTTTGCCTCCAAATATCTTTCTCACTTCTTGCCATCAAATTTGCTTCCAACCAATCTTGGTCTTTTCTCTAGAAAGCACCCTTTAGATTTAATTGAAGCCTCATTAAGCCATTAGAAAAAACAATTCCCCAGTGCTAGAAGTACTTTACAGATGGCCAACCCTGCCTTACTTATTGTGCAAATGAGGAATCCAAGATGCAGGTAAATCATATGATGCCAATGATGATGCAGACTCCTAGTGGTCATGAAAACAGGGTTAGAGCTGGGATTTTGGACTGTTCTTTTCCTCACACTCTCTTGGGGTTTTGTGTTTCAGATCATCCAACTGTTGCCTAGGAAAACCCAGAGCAGGCCTCACAGATGTGTCGCACAAAAAAGCACTCGGATGATCTTAAGAAAATCAACCTGCTTTTTCACCAACCTGGTTCACATCTCTTTGCCCTACTCCTGGTCTCTACCTGCTCCCTGCCCTAATCATAACTCAGTTCCATAGTCAACTAAGATGATGGAGGCCTTAAAATCCTTTTAGGGAAAACCGTTGAAAGCCTGCAAACAGACTTTGTGCAAGTTTCCCATTTCATACCCTTCCACAAGTGTCCTCCTCCTGACATAGGGGAGGGTTGTCAAGATGTGAGGGAAGGAGGAAAAAATGGGAAAGACCACCTCTGTGATAGACAAACCAGTGTAGTGTCACTACAAAAGCATCCATAGAATGACTCTGAAGATGCCCATGGATTAAGTGCACACTATCCTAAGACCTAAGATCATCATTCATTTGGTTTTGCATCTAAGGGTTGCTGGACATACCACATACACTTATCTATGTACACTTTATTTCACTAAAATCTGTCATCAGGATATGGAGTACAGAGGAACTTTTCATAAGAGGAAGGGCAGGGAGAGGAGGAAAGTTATCAGGTTCTTCTGTGATGTAATGCTCCAGGATTAGTTTTTTTCCGGAGGCTGTGCAGCTGCCCAAACCTTTAGAAGAGAAGCTGGGCCCTGCAACATAGACTACCATGGCCATTTCTCCTTGCTTTCTAAAGAAACTCCATAGGGTCTCTTAATGGATAAGGACAGAATGCTGAAGGCTTCTAGAGCACAAGATACTCTCATGTAGGCCTCACTAGCAGAACCTAACGTGAACTTTTCATCTGATCTCCCTTATCCAGGCCTAAAAATTGTCTCTGGCCACTTGTGAAGGTGGTAGTTATTCTGCTGCTGAATAAATGCTAACATCCCAGTGACAGGTTAGCTTCATGGAAGGCATCTTTGTCTAAATGATTTGTCCTTCCATCAAGAAACCCAACACTCTCCTGCTAAAGATTTTCCAAATAATAATCAAACCTTGTTTTCTCACTTTTAGGCTCAAATTGGCTTAGAGTAAATAAATGCAAGTGGAGCGGCATTTACCATCCCTCTCTTCTGCTCCTTCTTCTCTTCAGGGACTCAATGAAAATAGATGGTACCTACTCAAGTGTAGCTCTTAGCTACACAAAATATTGAGAAACACTTTCCAAATAATTGCTTTGAAGAAAATAGTCATTTATTGTCAAAGCATCCAACATACCGGGATAATCTATAAAGTTTAATAAATCTTTCCAGGGATAAAAGAAACACATAACTATTCAGACTCCATTTCACTGGCACAAAATTACACTTTGTATTAAAAGGAAATACATATTTACATACTGATGACATTCTTCATTGAAGTCCATAATCATTTCATGATACATGCACTTTCCCCTGGAAACTTAAATTGAATGGTGACCCCCTTTTTATTAGTTTTGTTTATTTTTGTAAGAACACAAACCGTCATCGAGAAATGCAGAAAGCATCTCAGGCTCCACCTTTACTTTATATCTAAAATAAATTTTGCCCTTACATATAATTATTACATCTAAACCGTAAGTGCTTAATAATTTAAGTAGAAACGTATGACAAATGCATCAATATGTTGCAATATATGACATTTTTAAAAATGTACCTTTGTTTTTGGGAAAGTGAAAATGCGTGCATTCAAAAGAAAACCCCTCAAACAACCCACTCAATCGAAAATCCACCATCCTGTCTCGTGTGTGCGTGCGTGTGTATGTGTGTGTGTGTGTAGGTCTCCGGTAAACATTTGAATGAGGAGGCTGGGGGGGAAGCACGTGTGCGAGTGTGTCTATCTGTCTCTGGGGTGCAAAGTTTCAGTAACAAGGAGGTGGTGGATGTCCTCGCATGTTTATTCCTGCAGGTGGCTTGACTGTGCGTGCGCGCGCGTGGAAAGCTGGGGTCCTTTCCGTGTCAGTTATGCGAGGTCATGTGCCTGGAGAGGTGGTGGCGTTCCCTGAAGGACTCGTTGCAAATGGGGCACTTGAGTTTTTCCTCCCGCCGCCGCTTCACCAAGGGCTCCATGGCGTACTCCTTTTTGTGGTGCGACCTCATGTGGTACACCAGGTCGGAGGTCATGCGGAAGGAGGCATTGCACTTGGCGCACCAGTTCTGCGCGGGCAGACACAGCGAGGTGAAGGAGGGCGGCAGCAGCGTGAGCGCCGAGGGCAGCTGCAGCTGCAGGGGCCCGGCTGCCGCCGCCGCCGCCGCCGCCGCCGCCGCGGAGCTCTTGGGCCAGAAGGCGGTGGCGTAGAGGAAGGGGCTCTGCTTGGGCAGGCCGCCGCCGCCGCCGCCGCTCGGCAGGGCCCCGCAGCCTCCGTTCAGATCCGCGGCGCCCTGGAGCTTCACGGCCAGAGGGTCGCCGGCGGCGGGGTAAAGTCTGGTGGGGCCCACGCCGTCGCCGGGGTGGCACGGCTCGAGCGCGCTCAGCTTCTGGCCCAGCACGAGCGGGGACAGCTGCGCGAAGGAGCGCGCCGGCTGCGAGAAGGCGCTCTTGCGCTCGTCCGCCGCCGCGCCCTGGCCGCCGCCCGCCCCGCCCGTGGCCCCCGCACCCCCGCCGGCCCCCGCGCCGCCGCCGCCCCCGCCGCCCAGCTGCGGCACCGAGGTGAAGGCGCTGCTCCGCGCCGGGCTGCCGCTCTCCAGCCGGCCGGGCAGCGGGCCCCCAGGCCGCGGGGCAAGCAGCTTCTCGGCGCCTGCCGGCGACGCGGCTACTGGCGTGGAGGAGCCGCCGCCGCCGCCCGCATCCTGGTCCTCGGTGGCCGCGCCCCCGCCGTCGGCGGCGGCCTCCTCCTGCAGCCCGGCCGCTCGGGCCGCCTTCTTGACCTCCACGAAGGCGCTGCGCTTGGCCTCGCCGGTCTCGGGGCTGGGCGGCGCGAAGAGGCGGCCGTTCTCTTCCAGGCCGAAGTAGCTGCCCGAGGCGCGGTACTGCTGCGGGGTGCACACCAGGTCCTCCTTGGAGGCGGGCAGGGGCCGCTCCGCGAAGCGGCCCCGGCCCCCCAGCAGCCCCGCGCCGCCGCCGCCGCCGCCCTCCGCCGCCTCGTCCGGAAACTTCCTCTTCCCTTTGCCGCCGCCGCCGGCGTTGCCGTCGGGACTCAGCTCCGCCTCCTGGTGGCCGCCGCCGCCCGGGCCGCCGCCGAGGCTCCGCACCGGGGAGCAGCTGCTGCCTCCCCCGGAGTTCTCCAGCTCCCGGGCCAGGTTGTGAAAGTTCGTGGATGGCTTCGCGCTGTTGCCGCCGCCAGCCGCAGGCGGGGTACTGCCCTCGGGGGAGGGGGCCGGGTAGTGGTGGATGGGGCCGGCTTTGCAGAACTTGGGGCCCGGACCCAAGGGTGCCTCCTGTTGCTGCTGCTGCTGGTCCTTGCCACCGCCGCCGCCCCCGTGATCCTTGGTACCCACGCCGCCGCCTTGCTCGTCTTGGGGGCTCATATCTGCGCTGTGAAGTCTCTTGGGGCAGCGGAAGCGCAGATGCGCCACATAGGGGAACTCAAACTGGAAACGTTGGCTGCATTCCAGGCATGTGTAAGGGGACGACCCTGCTTAGTGAGCAAACATCACACACACAAGCACACACACACACGCGTGCGCGCACCCACACACACGCATACCACATGATTACTCAGCATCGTTTCCAGGCCAGTTTGCCATCACCCCCTTCACAAATCCACCTTCATCTCTCAGGGCCTGAGTGCCTGAGAAAAGAATATTCTGTTCGGCCTGATCTAACTTTCCCTCCTGATTTGGAGGGAGTGCAGTAATTAAGCCAAGTGTCCCCGATTTATCCTCATCTATCTGTCCCAGCTTCGTTCCGGGCTACATCTCAGAAGCTTGCTGTGAGACGCCCAGAGGGAGGACAGGCGCGCCGATGCGCCAGGGCGAGCCCCCGCCGCTCCCTGCGTCGCTCCCCCGCTACCTAAGGGCCCACACGCAGGTCGCGAGCCAACCTACCATTCATTTTGCTGTGGGATCTAGAGGGGCAGAGCAAGAGTAACTCAGTCAGTTCTTTCCCGTACCAAACTAGTAACTCCTCGTCTTTGGCAATCCTGCGGAGAGAGCGGTAAAACAGCTGTCCATTTTTTATATAGGCTTCAAGGTTCTGCTCTTCCTTATCTCTGGCTGATTGGACCAGACGCAGCCACATGAGACCTTCTGAGGAACCATTTGCCGCTGAGGTGTCTACCTACAGTTTAGGAAAAAGAAAGAATACAAGGAAGGGGGTGGGGGAGGGAGACTCTGGTGAGAGAATGAAGCCAGAGGAACCAGGGCCATTTCCTCCGCGTTATTCTTTTCCAAAAAATTATCTGAGATCAAGCTTCCAAAACTTCCCCCAAGTTGGCACACATCCTCATGTTTGTAAGCAGCAGGCAAGATAACCATTCTTTGAAAAGCTGCATCAATCCTATAGATTATTTAACATACGGTCTTTTACATATGTTGGTTGAACATTAAATGAGGAAATTTCTTCTTACAATTCAAATTAGTGTTAACCTCTGGAGAATCTACTTCTAAATTATCCCACATTACAGAAGTGTGGGAATTTTGTTTGTTTTGGAAATAAAAAGCAAGCTTAGATCTTAGAAATTATTCTGTGGCATTCACTCATCTTCTTAATTTTGGCTTAAACAATTAATAGTTTTTCTTTGTAAAGAAAGAATATGAAGGGAGAAGACATCTTCAAACTCTAAGGTGGATTTAATGATGTTTTATTGTCAAATGATTAACATTTTTATTTAAGTACAAACTCTGGGCACTAGCTAGGTCTACCAGGAGTAAAATTTAGGGGAACAGGAGGCCTCCTAGGTTGGAAGGCAAATGCACCCAATACTTATAATAAAAGTACTTACAGAAAGTACTTAGGATGCAAATAGCCTCAACCCTAGTAAAACCTCCCAAAGACTTAAGAAAGTGGTGTTCATCACCAGGAAAGCCCAGAACTGAGGCACTGATTTAGACATAGCTGGCATTCCAAATCAAATTTTGTCATTTGATTCCAGAAAATCAATTGACAATAATTTGATCTGTATTTTCCTTGTCCAGTTTTTAGTGTGCAAAACAAGATGGCTTGTATTATTCCATTTTCTACATTCAGAAGTTGTCTCACCTTGTCATTGGAATGGTCTTAGTCCATTTTCAACAGGACATTACCTTCATACCCTATGCAAAATCGGCCAATACTTACCCGGAAGATATAAGGGACTGTTCTCTTGTCAGTGGACTTGAGGGCTATAAAAGCTATGCTGTCGTACAGGGAAGTATGGCTCAGGACGCAGGGACCGAATATAGCATTCTCAGGGATGTCGCAGGTGGTGTACACGCTGGTAAAAATATCTGTCAGACATTGTTGGACAGCCTTAGCATCTCCATCCCAGATGCCTCGCTGGATGCTGGAATCCTCCATCACTGCAGATAGATACACAGGACAACGAAGTGAGTTACATGACTCCTTTTGCCTCTATGAATCCAGGCAGAACATTTAAACTACTGGAGAGATTTTTCTTGAATTTGCCTGATTTTTGCATAGCTCTTATTTCAGAAATAAAACCAGTGACAAATTAAATCTGGCATATTTTCAAGATGTCAATTAAGGAGTACTTTCCTTTCCATAAAAAAAAATTGGAATATTTATTTATTATCTGAGTAGGAGCTCAGAGCGGACTGGCTGCTTGGGAGAAAGCATCAGACTAGGAGAGACAAGATCATTTTTGCATTACCTTGGGGAAGGATGGGGCAGGATTTAGGGGGTGAGGTTAGGGGAGAACAATAGGATTTTTTTTTCTTACTAGCCTATAGACTTTTCTGACTGAAAGAAACTCTAACCCTAGGGAGAAAGCTCCTCTTCTCTCGTCTTCTGTGTTGAACTGGGTGCCCGGGAGCTGATTTTTTTTTCTTCCAAAGAGGGGAGCAGCATTAGCGAGCAGGCGGAGACAGCCGAGCATGGCGAATGGATTTCCAGTGGAGTGTCAGGGCTACTGATTCCGTGTCAGCTAACCTTTCTCTGCAGCCTACAAGAGGGGACGTATGTCTGCTCATTACCATAATCCAACACTGTCCCTCCGAGGCTTTAATTAAAAGCAGCAAGCAGAGGTAATTATTTCTTTCTCGACATGCTTATTTATGGATGAGGGTGAATCCCAGTTACCTTGTTATACAAGGGGGTGGACTGAGATGCATGTGCCTCATGAAGTGAGCAGGTACAGGGCAGGCCTGAAGTGTCGCCTGTGTGGAATACCGCGTGTGTAATGACTGGTGAATTCTCGCTCCCCTAGGTATGACCCTGTCTGGGCAAAAGCGGGCAGCCCCACTTGAGTCGACCTCCGTGGGCTCTCCAGATGTTTAATCCTCAGCAATTTAGAAAGTAATGCCCGATGGAGGGCTCTCTATTAAGCTGTCATAAAGAGACATCTTCCTTCCTTGGCCACTGGACACCCCCTCCCAAGACTTATCATTTTTAAAAAACAAAGCACGTATGTAAATTTTAAACTGGCTTTGAGCTAAGTGCCTTGTTTACTCTTTCTGACTGATTAAAAGATTCCCCCCAATTGACTTTTCCCCAAAAATGTCCCAATAGGCAGTAATTTACGTATGTTTTGTAAAATTTAAGTAGCAGGGAAGAGTAGACCTAATTATTTTCTTGAGAAGCTGTTCATTATGGAATAATATTAGTGATGTCCATTTTTATCTTAATGTCTATTAACCAATTAATCTTGCAAATGTGATTACAAGGTGGTGCGCTTTTTTTTCTTTCCAGCTAATAGAGCATGAAACTTTGATCAGCTTCTTTTCTCATTCACTCTGCTACATCCCCTAAATGTCAAGAATTCGGCTGTATCTGCCAGAGAGAAATAAGAGAAAATATCCATAAGGTAGAAACTTACTTTATTATGCTGCAGCACCTATCCCTGGACATTTCTGCTCCACACAAGGTAGTCTTTCCGATCTCCAATTGCAAATTTAAATACATTAAAAAAAAAACCCTTCAGAACCTCTCGTCTTCTTTTCAACGGAATCCTATTCTCTCCTTTTCAATTTCCTCAATTCAGCGTTTTATACCCCAATTTCTCCGTTCCTTTTAAAAGTCTCTTTCACACAAGCGCTTCATTGTGCCGGGAGGTCGCCCCGTCACTTCGGGCAACAGCAGGGACGCAATCATTAAAATGCAGTTCTACCTAACAATACGGTGAAAAGATCCTCGCTACGCCGCGCTAATAGGGGTCCGCGTCGCCGCAGCGGCCGCCACGAGCCTGCAGCCGGTCGGTCACAATAACCGCTGGGCGAGAACCTGGACACTTCCGCCCGAGCGCGGTCGCCTTTGCCACCCGACCTTTCCTAGCTCTGATCCTCCTCTAGGCCCGGGATTCTCATCCGCCGGGGCATCCTCGCCGGAGCCGGCGGGCTCCTGGAAAGCCCACGCCGCCGCCCGCCGCTCGCCCGCCCCTCTAGGCAGGCATTGTCTGGCGGCCGCGCGCTCCCCAGTCGCTTGCTGCTCCGGGAAAGTGCTCCCCATCCGCTCCTCCCTTTGTATAATCTTATCGGCAGTAGAGATCCCCTCAACAATTATTTTCCCCCCTCTTCTAGATAATGAGGAGACGAAGGACAAAATTTTCCACTCTCCCCACAAAACCTGCCTTCCTCCCGTCACCCTCTCACACCAATGCAAACAGACTTACCAGGAATAAGATCAGGATCGAATTGCCCAAATAAGGCCACCTGAAATCAGGAGATGCAATCGAGTGCTTCTTTTGCCTATTGTATCACTGTATTTCCATGTCAAGAGGTGTTGGTGTTGCTGTCTTGTAGGCTCTGCCTAAGAGAGGAGAGAGAGATGGAGAGATGGGGAGAGAGAGATAAGCAGAGAGTAAGAGGAGAGAGAGGGAGAGAGAGAGAAAGCGGAGAGAGTTGTACAGATGGACCCGATGCAGTGACTGACTGGCACGCAGACACACACTTTTTGTTTGCTGCACATAATCTGCCCAATGACGCGTGACAGCCCACGTCCCCTCCCTTTAACTCTTTGCTAGGCTGGGCGCTCCCTCCGGCGCTGCCTGCTTGGAAGCGGTCTCTCCGGCCTGGCTGCGCCCGGCAGGTCCCGAGTGCCTTCCCCAACTGGCAACGCCTCTCTGAGCGCCGCCCCACCCGCTTTTTCCTAAAGCTTCGACCCTCTGGGACTGTAAGGAGGAGAAAATCAGTTTTGGGGTCGGAAAGGGAAGTACCAAAAGAACTGGAGATGGCCTTTTTCCGTTTTCGCTTGGCACTTGGAGAACCTCCGGCAGAGAGCTGGCCACCCAGCGCGCGCACGGACCCGGAGCGCATTTCCGAGTCTGAGTTCTGTGAAGGGGAGGGGGGGGTGGTGGGGTGCGGATTAGCCCCGAGGGATTCTCTGGCCATTGAGCTGCCGCTGATTTGCGCAGCTAGTTGCCTGGGGGTGATAAACCGGCTCCAGCTCGCTCCTGGAGCGCTTACACTACCAAGCCCTTCCGAGCAAGATCGAGAAAGGATGCGCTTTCGTGAGAACTTGGCTCAGCCTTTCCGTGGACCCAGAGAAGGGGTAAGGGAGGATGGAGTGGGGACGCCGCCAGACCTCGGGAGGAGATTTACAGGGGTTTTCTGGTCCCAGGACACAAGTACCTGAACAGGGGCCGGGATGAAGGGGAGATGAGTGGGGAAAACCCGGGTTGCTGGACTCAAGCTGTTCCTGCTCCTCCGCCCTCTGCCTGGCGCGTTCTGTGTAGTCCCGGAGGGGTCCCAGGGTACGGGGCGGCCCGTATTCTCAGACCTCCGGGAGTAGGGAAGAAGGGTGAGTCAAAGTAAAAATTATTACCGTGATGGGCTCCGGAGAGCTTTTCCCGTCGGCCGGTGGTGGGAGAGTGGATGGAGTTGCCGCGGCGGTCTCGGGAGCCTCGTTTGTGCGCTAAGCCACTCAGAGGCGCTGGCCTGCCCCTTTAGTGCAGCAGCTGATACTAATGACTTGAGGTCTTTAACAGCCTGAAAGTTGACTCCTTCCGTAACGGCCGCAACGTATTTTCTTCAGGAGATCTCGGGATTCTTTTTCGCTGTTCAGTTCTCTACTCCTAAGAGAAGAAAGATGTTTGAATGGTATAGACGCCCCCACTCCCTCAGCCCCACCCACACCACCATTACACTGAAGAGGGCAATCTGTTAGCTTTAGGATAAATCGGATTGTGTAGCCGGCTAAAGGGGACAAAGCAGAACCATGACTTAAGGAGGAGACAGCCTCGTTTTTATCCAGTGTTGAAATAAGGTAAGTGGATTGGGGGTTGGCAAAGAGCAGCTTAAAAGGAAAAGGTGTGCACCGTGTTAGTTTGATCCTCTCGCAGCTCAGCTCGGAGACCTCCCTCGGGAACCCAGTGGGGCGGCGAGCGAGGCACTGAGCACCTTCCCTCGCCGGCGCCTGTAGTCTTAGGAGGCCGGGGAAGGATTTTGCTGAGGAGAAATAAAAAAATGTGCCAGGAATTTCCCACTAAGCGAATTCTCTTCTCCTTGGTCTCTCTCTCTCTCTGTTCCCTTCTTTTCATCTGGCTCTGGCCCCCTCCTTTCCCCCCCCCCCCCCCCCCCCGCCGTAAGTTCCAGCTCCTTCTGATCAGACAGAGCCCGCTGCCTAGGATTAAGCTGGGACTGGGGGAAAGAAGGGTTGTAAAATCTCCATATATTAGGGAGGAAGGGGGGCATTCTCCCTTAATTTCCAGGTTAGCTGCTGACTTTTCAAAGAAGGCTTCTTAAACTGCAGTTGTCTTTCAACTTAACATATTTCTTTTATGCACAGGTGCACACTTTTAAATAGTTTGGCTAAGGGCGACTGGGAGTGACCAAGGCTCGATGCTGAGGGCTCTCACATGTCTACATATAAGAATCTGCAACTGTATTTAACCACCAATTGTCTTATGACTAGGTGCTCCATTCATCTCTCTCTCACAAGAAAGCATCCCCTCCCCCAATCACTTGTTTAAAGAGAGGGTAGGGAAATTAGAAATGTCAAAAGAATTGCCTCAAACATCTGAAAAATAACCCACAGGGGTGAAGAATAGTGGCCAGATGCTTAAGTGAATTCAGGGAAGAAGAAAAAGGAAAAAGAAAGGGCAGAAGAGACACAGGTATAAACTACAGCAAATTAAGATAAAGAAGTAGCCATAAGAAAGCTTTAGAACCTTAGAAACTATAGCCTGATACAGCAAAGGCATGTGTGTGGAAGGGCGGTGTCCATAAACCTAATTCCATTAGATTGTTGAACAGAACACTCCTCAGAGCCTTCTTTTGCTATTATTTAGAGAACAGGAAACTTGCCTTTCCCAGGAAAAGTCATTGGTCCATGCAAGCCACTTAAAAAAATCCTCTTACATTATTGTAATACATTATTGTAAACATAAAAGCATCCACTCCAGAATGCAGACATTCAGAAAACCTAACACTCTAAATGGAACGCAGTTTTCTTTTCCCTGGCCTTTCCTCTCTTAAATATAGAGGGCACTTAGACTTTGTCTCCTTTGAGGTACTGAAACCTAGACTCCAGTTTGTATAAAATAATGTTTCTGATACTTAAGATGGGGATAGCAGAGCTTGACCTTCTAATCTCAAGCTAGAAAACAGCTAAGATTCCACACAGCAAAGTGGGGAGAAATGTAGTGAGAATCTGGCCATCAGATGATGTTTCCTCTCAGTTTCACTTTTCTAACCCCTTATTAGATTTCCCCTTCTGATTTCAGATAAAAATCCCCATATAAAAGAATGTCTAATATTTTATGAATCCAACAAACTGTTTGTCTTATGTATTAACTGACTGACATAACAAAAAACCAAATATGGATAAGATTAAGCTTGAAATTCCTACTTTGAGGGTTTTCTAGTATTTTAAGTGGTACACATTTTGTTTGGTAATATAAATGGTCTAAATGACAATCTTAATGGGAGGTAAAGAAAATCTGCAAATTACTTTTATTTCTCTAGAAATTTATGAGCTAAAATGGTACATAAACTTACTTTGAAATCACTCTGCATTACTACTTAGTGGATTCACTGATACTAAGTGAAAGGTTGAGGCATTTATTCAGCCTCAAACAGTACTATAAAAATGCATCTCGGTCAATAGTTTTATCTAATTCACATGGAACAATGGGTTTATGCATATATTTGGAGCTTTTTGCCCTGGGATTTTATTTCCTATTAAAAGATTAGAGGGATGACAATGAAGAGTGAAGGTATGCTCACCTTGCTCCACTTTAGCAAGCCTTCTTGCAGTTATGGTAAAAATACATGTGTAGGCAACTGCAGTATTGTTTTGGAAGAGAAGGCTAGAGAGAGGTTGATGAATGATTCCCGAGGTGGTACCTTTTATGACCTAAGTGAGAGGGTGGAGAAAGGGTAAGAAAGGAACTCTGATTCTTAGAGAGTGTTAGAATGGAAATGCCATTTCTCCTCCCAGGGTAGAGAGATGCAGCCCACGATATCTCAACTTCTGTGAGAGGAGACAGGTGAAGTGTTTAAGAATTACTCACTTAGAAGGACTATTACCCTATAAGAATGAAAACACATTTTTGTTTCTGTCTCCCTTTCTAGGTCCTGGTTCATCCCCCCTCCAATCCTATTTCCAAAGCACTACACCAGCAAAGGCTTAGTTGTAAAAAAAAAAAAAAAAAAAAGGCAATTCATGGTGAAAGGAAAAACGCACTGGAAGACAAGAGGATGCCAATGAAGCAGACGGTGGTGGAGACTTTTTCCTAAGCTTATTAATTTCCCACTGGGAGCTCTGTGGAAGGGGCTGTGAGGGTTGGGGGAGGTAGAGAATGGAACTTCATTCTCTGGGGTATTGCACTGCCTAGCCTCACCGTGGAGAATAAGGAACTTTCTAAGGGATAACTTAGAGGCAAGAAGAGGCCGATTTGCTGAGCTGGATGAAGGTTTACAGGGATGGGGGGAGCTTTGCTTCTTATAAATATACACGGCAATTTCCGTCTGGGTCTGTTCCTTACCCTAATTATTACAGTTGGTTCATCAGGTGATAAATGAGTGAATGTTTCCCCAGCTGGTCCTGGGAGAGCCAAATTCTCCAAGGATGGATAATTTTGTAGTCTGGGAAGAGGAACTCCAGGCTCCCAACTGCAGGGATCATTACTCCCGACTCACGTTTTTCTCTCTTCAGCTTTTCTTTTCTCAGTAAATGGTAGCTGTTTTTAATGCTGCTGCTGCTACTACTACTACTACTACTGTCATTATGATTATAACCTACCTTTCTCAAGTTTAAAACTTTCTCTCTGAGGGGTCTCAGGTTCCTTTTACCCTCGTGTGGGAGTTCAGCTGTGAGCTGGACAGTCTTTGAGAGCTTTGTGTAATTCATTTCCTCTCCTGGATCTGAGCTGTAATCAATTGGCTTAATGGCTTCTGGGTATGACTTCTAGCAGGGCTAGCAAACTGGGGTGATATTGGAGGCAAGTACCACAGATGTGAAATGAATGCCTCATGCTCACCTGTGTGAGTGTGACTTGCGGACCAGATCCAATATCCAGTATCCTAACCCCCTGGATTCTTCCAGCTCTTATACCCCTCCTCAGATGAATATCTAGAGAGCTGGCAAGGAATATCCTGGTTTTCTGTCAGGTTTGCAGGGTACAAAGTCCTTCCCAGACTCAGACATCACAGCCCTTGCATAGATCTCTGTAGAAAGAGTAGAGTGGGAGGAAGGAAAAGTAGGCAGGGCCATAGTCAGCTACTCTGAGCCCTCTCACCCTCTGGGCCAGGCTTTCCAGGCAGACTGGGGACCAAGGCATGTCCAGCAGTCTCACATTGGAGGGAGCATCATATTTTGAGAAAACTGACTCTAGGCCTTAGGAATGTCACCAAGTTGAGAGGGTCTACATCAAATTTCTTTACCAGGAGAGGGGACATCATCCCACACTTAGTACCTGAGGCCCACCTTTTCCCTCTTATTTTAGCCTGTATGTAGTTCTTGAGTTAAAATGAGAGGTACTGATGGACACACAGTGGGAACATACTGGGCAGATTCCATTCCCTGATCCCAGCTAGTCCTCCAAGGTGTGGACTTACATTGTAGACTGTGCTGCTGGGCAATGAGCAGCATGAAGCATTCCTCTCCTGGGCAGAAGGCACACATGCCCAGGACTATCTAGCTTGGAATCTGCCCATGGCATACTTTCCTGAAGTCTGAGGAGAGAGACAGAGACCTGATCTTCTCAAAGAAAAGGGGAGGCAAAACTGAAAAGAAATGAAAAGGATTTGGGGAGTAGGCATCAATTAGCAACCACAACAGTGATGATTCACATAGCTTTGTTAGAGCCTTGGGAATATAGTTTAATTTCTTCACAAACTATGCTTTCATACCCAAACTGCTCCCCTGGTCAAATTGCAAACTGGACTCTTTGAGGGAAAACCATCTTTCATGATTTCAGTTTGAAGAACTGCAGGTGTTTCATGATTTAATAGAGGGGTGTTAACCTAGCAGCAATGGGAAATATCTCCCAAAACATTATATGGAGAGCCTGTAGGTTTTACCAGATCCTCATAAGCACTTTAAAACCACCGATGTAAGTCTTTCTTCAATTCTAACACTTGGAGAAGTGCTCTGCTAAAGAATTCAAAAATCAACTTGTCACAAACAGTTAACAGCATGACTACTATAAACAATACTGAATATACATTACGAAGTGGCAGAAATAATAGGCAGGGGGATTGAAATGTATTTGTTCTCTTGAACTTGCTGATTGAAAAGCCAATTCCCAGATAGATTTGATAGTCTTCTGGTAATGTAACATAAAGCTAACCAACATATAATTCAAAATCTCCTCTAGGGTTTTAAGGAAAACCCATATTTAAAAAATAAATAATATCCAAAATTGTCAAATAAATCATTCACAAATTCCTAACAGCAATAAACATACTGAATATGAAGACCTGGATATTGAAATTTCCTGAAGGCCTAGAATTCAGTTTAGGTCTGAACAGTATTATATCTGATCAGACATGGTCTCTTTTGTGTGTGTGTGTGTGTGTGTGTGTGTGTATGTGTGTTTAAGCAGGTTGGGAGTGAATGTTCTTGAGGGCAACAATTAAAAACAAACTTTCAGGACTGTCATTTTTCTTCACTGTATGTCCATAGTTGGTGCTCCTTGTTGCATGTTTTCACATAAGATGGTTTTGAGGAAATAGTTTGCGTGAAGTCCTATAGGAGGGCAATTGGTCCTGGAGAAGCAAAATTGAATAGGGTCCTAAAGAACATATTTTCTACCCATGATTTTAGTATCTAGTACTTTGTGTATGCGATCAGATGCCTTATAGCATTATCTACATTCTAGAGTCAGTTTGCCTGAGGCCCTAGGAAGTTAATATTTCCAGACAAGTGCAGATCCTCTGAACTCGTGAAAATCTCCTGGGGACAGTCAATGCACTTGAGAGTGCAGCAGGTTCCAGTTCTTTCCTGTGGGACTGAATTAGCTGCTCTATCCGCAAAGCCACTCACAGCTGAGTTTGGGCCCAATGTTTGGGCGATAAGGTAAGGCAAGGCACAGAAGCGCCTGCTAGAAGCAGACACTTCCTGAGGTCTGGATTCTCCGGTACCTAGGTCTCAGTAAAGGGCACGGGGACGGAGATAAGAGCGCCGAGAAGACCAACGACAGAGACGGGCTTCAACGGGGGTTAATGAGGTCTCTCTGGGAGAGACCCTGGGGAGGGAATACCCCGGCAGAATCACGAAGGGCAAACACCGCTCCCACTTGTCTGGGATGATTCACCAGGGTGCAGAACCCTGACGGGGGATGAGACCTGGGCAGAACAAGACAAGCCGCCTTCGGCAGAGGGTCGCTGTTTTAGAAGCAGCGCTAGCAAACCGTGAACTTGGGGGCAGGAAGAGGCCACGTGGCACGCTCAGTGCGCTCCAGACACGCCCCGTACGCAGCGCAAGTTAAGGGCCCGCCACGTTTTCTACCTTCTCCAGCCTCCTGCCGCCTCCCTGGCATTAGTGCCTACACTTACCCCCTGCTAGGCGACCAATTTCCGCGCGTAAAAGCGTCCTAAGGACTGGGCTGAGGGACCAGCAATCTCCTTTCACCCCCGCCACCATCCCCGCCCCCTGCGCGCGTCCTCGCCCCGCGAGTCCCTCCCCCGCGACCGCCTTTCCCAGGGCAGGAGTCCGTGTTCGACCTCTTACTAGCTGGGCTGCCAGTGACCTCTTCCAGTCTTGGTTTGCCTCCTTGGGCAAACTAAGGCTGGCAAGAGCTGCCTCCGGGTCGCAGTGAGGACTCAGTGAGGGAACGAGGGCGAGCAAGCTTTGGAAAGCCAGTTGCTGAGCAGATGGTAAGGGATTACTTCCAAGAGCCAGGGTCAGTTTTATTTCAGCCTTGGACATCCCAGAGAGGTCTCAATGCCTTCATTAAGGAACGAACATTCTCCTTAGTTAGAAGTCTGGAGAACTGACCCAAGAAGGACCAACAAGTCAGGTTCAGGCCACAACGCCAACGGGGGAACTAGACTGCCTGGATTCGAATCCCAGCTCCTGACGCTGGGCAGGTAATTTAACCGGTCTCTGCTTCAGGCCTTCATCTGTGAAGCGAGGGTAATAAAGGAAACTCTCTTCATACAGTTATTGTGAGGGCTGAGTTGATATTTAGCAACCGCAGGGAACAACGCTTGGCACCTAGTAAATACCCATTTCACTGCTGGCTGTTGTTAGCGTTACAGCACTGCCTTGGCTTCCTCATTAGAAAATTTGGGAATTGTATTGTGCACCGGCTTTCAAAGCCACTCAGTGAAGGCTGAGGATTTCTCGATGTTTCTAGGGAGATTGGGAGGACGCATTGGAGGATCAAGTAGGCAGGAGGAATCAGGGATCCTCTCTACTGCCGAGGGAAGGGCCCGAACGTCCCAGTCACAGGCCGTGATCCCTACTAACTCCTCCCCTCTTTAAGGAAGAGGAGCGGGGCTCTGCCTGGAGGCCGGGCAACGGACTTCCAGCCCCGTCGCCCACCGGGGAGTGCCTTCTTTAGGCCTGGAAGCGGCGCCACGTTAGAAACGCGGGGAAGTCTGGCCGGCTCGGACCGAGGCAGTGCGACCTCGTGAGCGAGAAGCACGTGAACGCCTCGCTGGCTGGCTCTTGTGCCGCCGCCAGAAAGCCGAGGCCCGGGAGGGCAGAGACACCTGGGGCCCGGCCGCCCGCCCGCCAGATCTGGGCTCCGGGCCCCCGGGCAGCGCGGCTCCTCCTCTACTTCGAAGAGCCGCGGCCCAGCAGAAGCGCTCAGAGACTGGCGGGCCCTATCCCCGCACTCAGGTCTGGACAGGTGGCCAGACGAAGCCACGTTGCCCGGGGCCGCAGCCTGGCGGCACGCACCGACCCCCCAAAAGCGCGGGCTCCACCCTGCCCGCCTTCAGGCCCCGCCCCCGGCGCGGGGCATTGTGGGCCGCCGGCCGACGAGCCCCAAGTCGCGCCCAGGGCCTCCTCTCCGGGCTCCGCGCCGCTGTCGCGCAGCCGCAGCGCTGAGCAGGCGAGTTGCGTTCGCCCCACGCCTACAGTCTCTCGCTGCGACACCTCCCATCTAGGTAGGGGACCCGCAACAGAGGGCAGCTGTGGGTCCCTCATTGCTCATTCTTCTAAAGGTTCCGAGAGGCAGTGGTGGAGAGCTCGAAATTTAGGATCCTAGACACCTGTGTTTGAACCCCAGATCTGCAGTCTACTAGCTGTGTGTCTTTGAGCAAATCACCTAATCCCTCTGAACTTTAGTTTCCTCATTTGTAAAATAGCAAAAACAACATTATCTCCTAGGGTGGCTATGAGTATTGCAAGGGCAAGCCTGGGTTCAGATCCCAGCTGGACCACTTGCTTGGGTTAGTTGGCCTCTTTGTGCTTCCGTTTCCTGTGAAGGAAGGGGATCTGTGAACGAGGGATAATACTTAAGTCAAAGGGCCATAAGAATTAAATGCGATAAGCCTGGCAGAGCATTCATTCT